CATGATTCCCGTGATCGCTTCGAAACCTGACCAATATTCCGGTGATGAGACATTGCGTGTGATCACAGTTCATGTTTCTATATGAACGATTTCGTGTGGACCGTCAGGAGGTATAGCAAATTAGCAAATACGGTTAGACAAAATAGTCTGTATAATTTAATATATCACTTTGTCGCCTATGCGCTTAGTCTGTTTATAAGCCTATAAACACATCTTTTCTTGGCGGAAGTAACTATATTTTTTCGAATGCGTTTTTTCCCACCCACTTTCAAAACTCGGCGCGGGATCGGCGCCCCCTTTTCATTTTTGCGCCCTGCAAGAATTGCCAGCACGCCACTGCTTGGGTACTTATTGAGAGCGAGGTCAAGTGTTGTGCTCGGGTGATCTAAACGCGGCGTTGTCGCTGGATGGAGGTTTATAGGCCACACAGACGATCAAACAAGAGAAGCCTCGATTAAGTTTATGAGGTCTTACATAGATCCATAAAGTTTCAGAATTGATGTCATTAAATTCTGTTAGAATTTTGAACGGGATATCTGATTTAATAAAAGCACAAACTCCACCGCCCAGCTTATCAATTCGGTCACATCTTGCTAATTGAATACCCACCAATACAAACGGCTGCATCGTCGATTTTCTCATTTATCCATGTTTCGGTTATGAAGGCCATACTCACATCATATCGGTCAAGTATAATTTTCAATTCATCCACTTTTGGTAAAAGAGATCTTGTATTTGAGAGAAGGAAAGTCAGTAAATTACTTTGGGCGCACTTTGGGCTTTGATATAAAGACTCACTTTGATATAAAGATGGATTCCTGATTTGAATTTCAATTAGATTACTCATTCTGCAATTGTTTCGTCTGCTAGTATTAGGAATATGTTCATTACAACACGAATCGCTAGACTGTGACCTTCATGGTAAGATATAATTCTAACTGGTATATTGTTCCGTTCCGGAGTGATTATAGTGTTGTTACTAGCTGCGATAGAAGTCTCCAAGTTTATTGCAATGTGCGACGGACAAACTCCAGGAAATTCAACCAGTCTGCCTGCTGGCTGATTCGCGACCGAAAAAACGTATGCCAGTTCATCTTTCCTGTTTCATTCCTTCGAGTCTGGCGTGAGCGAGGCGCATATGTCGAGTAATTAACAAGTAGAAGCAGTCGTCCTATCCAATCAAGGGGTTCAGCCCCACTTCGAGATGTATGCATAGGGTTTGATTCATGTTTTGATTCATGTTTAGCGGTTCATGATGCACGACACCCTAGCAGGCCTAGCTGTAATTAAAACATGAGCAGCCGATCTTAATCCCTAATACCCTGTAAGTGTCGCAAACATACAAAAAAATTTCCGGATATACCAAAAAATTTTCCCTAATATCCCGTAATTTTACGAACATACAAAAAATGTTCCGGACATACTTAAAAAATGTTCCCTTATATACACCGTAATTTTCGCACACATACAAAAATTTTTCCGGACATAACATAATTTTTCAGAATTTTTTATGTTTTGCCCGAATGATCGACGCATGGATTTCTGCCCGACCGTAATAATTTTGGGGGCCTCTGCCCCCCGTCCTCCCCGTCCCATACGCTTATGATAAGAAGTGCATGGTATAAGATCTTGGTACAACTAATTGATTTCGTGACGCAAAACGTAAAGGGCGGCTAGGAATGTAAGATTCTAGCAAGTCGTCCTTCGCACTCGTGCTATTTTGATGCTCGTTGAAAAACTCACTCGTGTATGCATGTTTTATTTAAATTGTACTCAAAATCCATCTTATTACCTATATACAAATTTCTAGAATACTCTTTGTTATGTCTATCAACTTGGAGTATCTGTCGTGTCCTGCCTTTTTGATACGTTTCGTTGACCATGGAATAGAAAAAGACTTTCTATCATATGACGACGACTGACGTGTTTCCTGAATTAAAAATATTAAACCGAGGAAGTTTTAAACCAACGAAAAAGACCTTTTTGAATCAGTGTTATTAGAGTATTCAGTACGAGGGCACGGAATCAAGCTACAGCAAATAATTTATTTGGTAAGCTCACTATTAATGAACTTAATGTATGAATTTATTACCACATGCTTTTATTAACATAAAAGTTGATGCTGCATATAGCTGCTTAAAATTTGTATTGTTTTCACGTTATTTATAAATAAGTATATACTAACAGCGTTTTCAATTAATATTAATGTCTTCACTGGCACATTCTATAATCAAATGTACAATCCAACAGCGAACAGCAAGACAATGTACTTATTTTGCCATTGCACAATTCGCGAATTTTGTACAAGGGCGAACAGCAAGATGATATACCTATTTTGCTATTTCCAGCTTTTTAAAGAGCACCTTAATACAGAGGATAGCGTACAACTCTAGCACGGATTTGTTGAAGCACTTCCTAGAGGCAAACATGCATACTTTTCTGGGTTTGCACATAATTTGCGGACGACAACACCTAGAAACTTAATAATTAGCGACAAATATTAAGCTTCTATACGTGCATCGTATGACTTGTTTGTGAGTCTAAGGACTGCGGATAGACTATTTAGTATTTTTGCACTATAAAAAGCAACTAATTCAAAGAGTTGTATCTAAGAGCTAAATACCAATTAAGAAGAGTATTTTGGCCAAATACAGCCTGAAGGCGCAGCCCGACGACTATATATATGGATTTAATGCCTTGTAAAGAGGAGCAAGTTTCTCTTAACACGTTTTCCCTGACAAGTTTTATTTGCTCGTGCATATGTATGCCAAAAAATTAACAATTTTCCTTGGCAAGGAGACTTGATGTTCCAAAGTTATGTGACTATAACTGGGCTTTGTATTCATTTATAAACCAGAGTAGTGAGCGAAAATATGAACGACAGGTAAATGTTTAACAACATTCTGTGCACAGGAGCAACAAACTTGCCAAGGGAATATTGCCAAGTAAAACTTCTCAAAATACACACGAGAAGGTAATCTTGTCAAGGAAAACTTGATCGTCTCTATTTGGGGGTAAAAGCCGTTGTTGAACTATTTTACTGCATGGTGTATACGAATGATGGTCCGGAAGCCCAGCAAATTTCAAAAGCCACAAAAGAGAAGATCTTTGTTTGATGTCTTTGCACGTCTTACCTCAGATTTTTCCCTATTGGGTGACTATACGAAAATACAATGAGCTAAATCACCGTGACCAAAATTAACATAAACATAGACCAAAACATAATTATACAATGACTTATGTTTAGTTTCCAAACAATCATATCTTCAAAGACTATGAGTTCGTAAAGGAAGGCTGGGAGATCATTGCACTCTTGCATTTACAATCAGCATGAGATTACAAGATAAAGGAGAGCAAAAATATTATATTAATAATCAAAGTACTTATTGATTATGCTTCGTATTGATAGTTTACAACATGCCAAAGTCATTTCGACTAATCCACTCCCACCTCCCTCCAAGGACTTAGGGGCTGATTACATGGACCGGGCCAGCTCGGCACCATGTAATCAGCACCTTACTTGCCGGTTGCAGGCTATTTGGATTTTGATTATACCCTTCTTTTTAACACCACGCGATCGTTTCTTTAGTATGCATGACCGTGCCCTATCGTCTTCCAGCCTGCAAGCCAAAAAAATAAGCCTCTGCCGAGGAGAAAGTCGTTCATACCGTAAAAATCAATTATATATGATGTTATTGAAGAATGGGGGTGCGGTTGGTGGTGGGCAGGGCTGGGGTAAATAAATAAAGGAGCTTATTGATTAATAGAGGGTTATACTAACAGTAAATTATTTTTTCAAGTTCCTGACGATGAAACCTCATCAACTACTTTTCGCTTTCGTCATTCTGTCAAGTTGTCATAATATGGTGGTTGGTCTCCACGAACGAGATCTTGCGCAGGCGCGTGCTGGGGCTCCACATTCAAATTGTCGCAACGCGTTGTTTGATATATTTGCGAAAGGCTGGTACTTACATGGCCGGGACTATGGATGCTGTAGCAATTATGATGGCTGCTGCCTATATGCATCAGCATTTTGTTATTGGCATGACGTTTATTGTTCTTGCTGCCAACATGGCGTGCTTTTATGTGGCTTTGGATGCAGAAAAGATCCAGTTAAATGCAACTAAGTAACTTGTACTTTTCAATGTTACGAAACTTTAACTTTGTGCATGTCAGTATTTTAGATTTTTTAAATTATGATTTTAAGGCTACGAGGTATAGTTCTTGTAATTTTATTCAACTTTTTGTATAGTACCAATTTCTAGTCTGTATTAATTAAAAAATTAGTTTTCTGGTTTGATTCTTCTTGATTTGTTTTGATTTGCGAAACAACCTTCTTTTGCCCTTTGTATCATGTAATTATAGAAGGATGCTCAATCGTCTGAGATACAAGGGCAAGTTGAGAACGATGTTATATATTTGGGATGTTATAATGTTATCGTTCTCGTAATGCGAGGATATTAAATTAACAGTACATTTATTTTGCTGGGCTGTCTGTGATATAGCAGTGATTCGTCATTTACGTACTTTTAAATTTTGTAGTTGTAAAACTATCAATATATGATACTCTTCCTTATTCAAGAATTATTCAAAAAATCACAACATTGGCAGCTGGCATTTACATAATCACTTGTTAAAGCACTCTGTAGGGGTTAAAATTTAATTCTTCATGCGATTCATTTGAAACAGTATTAACAATAACGGGACTGAAAACTATTATGAAGCCACAACTTCAAACTTGTGATTATGAAATTTATTTAGCTATACCTGTGTACATATATATACATACCATTTTAGCAAGATCTAATAGGACTTATGTCTAAAGGTTATGTCCACGTTTTCATTAAAGTTCTTTTCTTAAAGGGAATCGACATTTTCCCACATATATTCTATTGCATTCTGTTCTATTTACATGCATAATTTAGTGTCGGCTGGCTAACTGAAACACGAATTTTCCTGTTTTTCCTTTGTGTTTTTACAATGCATTGCAAGAAAGTTGGGTGGGTTGCTTCATTTAGTCATTGATCTTGTAAGAGTACTAAACACTTATGATCGACGATATCGTTGAAAATGACTTTGTCTTTGAAATCTGGGAAAGTTTGCGCTGTTTTCTTATTGATGGCTCTGCAATGGTTCATATTTACATACGCTGAGGTAACACATTTTAAATATAGACTAATATATTTTACATATACAGGTTATTAGGAAACTGACGTGCATATGTAGCGTTTGCGATTTAATTAAATGTTTCGCCTAAAACATCGTAATAAATTCACCAACACTATTAAACCTCTCTCCTTGATAGGGACCATTCGCGTTTTAAATAGATCTTATTTTAGAGAGTACTAGTATTGTTGATCAAACTGGGTGTGGAATCACCTTTGACGCTGTAGTCGAGTCTGTGGAGAAGCTAATTCATATCAGTTAATCTTTATAATGAGTCTACAGCTTATACTATAACAAATGATAATTAAGAAATTATCATACAATGTTAATTTCTTGGATCACATGCAGTTACGATTTTATAGCTGGTTATTTGAGTTAGCTCCATCTGCATTATATGCTGCGTCGTCATCACTCAACTGTTGCAAATGTTGTGTTTTCCTAAGCACTAGCGTGCAGCAAATGACGGTCAACCTGCAATTATCTGAGTGAGAAAGTAATGTTGATTGTTTTGGAGACAAATGAACAGAAATGAGAGATCTGGTTTTACTTTCTCCTATGGGCATGTTGTTTCAATCAACCGACATATCTGAAGTGGTCAATGAGCCACGGTTGCAGATCTGCCTTCCCGTAACGCCTATACTGAAAGCCACCAATATGATCTTCATGTAGGTACAGTAGGAAAGCATTTTAAAGGCACCGCTTAAAGCAGGCTCACCAGTCACGTTCGCTGAATGAAAGATTTAAATCTACCTTACGTCAAATCCTTGTTGACACATACAGTGTTGGGGTTTTGCTACGAATATATAAGGAACAAAATAGTAGTGAAATGGGAAAAGTGCTTGAATGAATTAAAGAAGAAAGTGCGGAATAACAAAACAACTGAACACTTTAAATTGGCTTAGGCCAAGTTCAAGCGCCTCGAATTCGAACTTTTCATCTACAAAAATCTAATGCAAGTAAACTCAAACAATGAGCTAGGGACATTCGGCCATTCGGTACAATGCATGACTGATGATTTTTCAACTGGACCTTCTTTGTTCTTTACTTTTATTCATCAGTTATCTGTTTGTTCCAAATCGAAAGAAGGAAACCAAACATTGTATCGCAAGGTGTCAGGAGATGACGGAGTTTTGATCTGCATCAAAAACAATGGACAATTTCTATGGAGATTTCTGGATGGTAAGGTTAACTAGAATCTTTTGGGGGGTAAAGACACTCACAGAAACGTGGTATGAATATTGACAAATCTACGCACTGTTAGTGTCAAACCATTGTGAGGATAATCAAAAATATGTCGTGGGGACATTTTATACAGTGATGAAGATGATGGTCAATTTCTATTCGGTTATATAGCGTGAACACCAAACGTGATTGGTTGATTTGTGGGCACGTAGCTTTAGATAAATGCAATGTAACTCGCTGGGCAACAAATGAAAAATTGTTGCCCGCTCCGACTGGCTACGTACAGAAATAAACAAAATGGCGGCTCAACTCAGAAGTTTAAACTTTTTTCCAAGTTTGTATTGATTATGCAATTGTTGTATGAATGTTGTTGATTTTCCTTTCGTCGCTATATAACAAAACACTTAATGTCTGTTACCTCGTGAAATAGTTGGTTTTGTTTCCCCCTTTGATTTCATTGTAGTTGTCATTGTTTCATCTCATATTACGTATCATAATAACACACATACATGTACGTACACACTTTGTGAAAGCATACAGGAACTGAAGTTAATTTATTTTATTTTACAACAAGTGGTCATGAGTTAAAATATTGACATATCTATACTTGGTATTACAGGAAGATCTATTGCATAATTGGCTAAATCTCTTCCTTGGCTAAATCAACTAGAATTACAGTCATTTTATTTGACATTATTAATATTATTATCTTTATTATATGAAGTATTAAGAGGACAACTAAGATGTCAATAAATCAAAAAACTTAATAACGATGTCCATCAATCAAAAAACTTAACACCCTCGAATCTGAAAACAAAACTAACTATTTCCCGAAGGAACAGACATTAAATGTTTTGTTCGAAGCTAAAATTTATGCAAATCTGGACGATTTTGTGCAATAACAAATTTATGCATTCCAATAAAAGGGTCAATATCCTTGTATAAGTTCTTCTACGCTTGGTGAGAAATTCAATCCTGCAAAAGATTGCTCTGATATAGTGGACAATCTTCCCGAAGCAAAAGATGGTTTCTATTGGATCAAACACAACAAGGGAGAACTTTCAAAGGTACAGCACTTTTTTGGTTTTCCAGCCATTAATAATACAACAGGTGAACTTGTGGGCGAGCTCGACAACTGGATTCTGCATGTATACAGCTCAGTAATTGGTTAGAAGACTGCACCGGAATCACCGGGTCGCCGGTTAGATTCCTGCCAGAGGGGCTATAGTTGTATTTTTTTGCAGCAGCTCCTGGTTAGATTAAAAATTGTATATAATATTCCGCTCGAAATTTCCATCTATCATCATCCCTTCAACCTTATGATCCAATTGACTTATGGATCCCCTAGGGGTGGTGTGACACACATACAGACGGCGGGGGTTTTTTGTTGATCGGAATGAAGAACAGTCCAGTCACATGGAACGTTCCATCCAATGACACTCCAGTAGATCCAAAGGGTCCTCCTCATTGGTCCAGCAAGTTTGGTGACGTTAACGTACAAGATTTTGCAATTCAAATCTCAACCACAAAGAATTTTGAAGACACAAAGGCTCATTGGTAAGTTGTCCATATAGATTGTAAAATATGAAGTAAAGGCGGGTTTATTGGATCTGTCTAATTATACCAATGCCTTACCATAAGCACCAAATCATATACCATACCATATCATACCATACCATACCATACCATACCATACCATACCATACCATACCATACCATACGAATCTATAATAATCATATTTGCCTTACATTCATAACTCTTTCAAACCATTTGAATAAAGGTCTTACAGGTTAAAAATAAAACGTGCTCTTGGTCATCTGTTTGGTATTGGAAGTGGTGGCTGTTCACACTTTCATTCAGGAATTGGAAACATTTCTTATGTTAAAGATATCCTTACTGAAACAGTGGTCACTACAGAATTTAACTGTTCACAATTTGGACCTCATTCGGACGTGGGATGGGTAACTGTAATATTTATACTTTATCAATCTTTTAACAGATATAACCAGAAATTTGGACTGATTTAAACAGGACATACCTAGACATTCTGGTTGAGTTAACCATGCAGACTATGTTATGTGGACATCATAGAAATAATAGATATAGAATGCGTACTCCTATCTTTTCTCAGTAAACAATTTGTCTCCACAAAGTTGCGGATTTATAAGGGCATTTTGGCTAGTCCCAGAATCCTGCGGCAAGAAATTTCGCGGCGGTTACAGGGAGTGCGAATTGTTTTTTTCGACAAAGTTTGCCAAAAATTTTTATATCAAGATTTAAAATTGGATAAAATATTTGAAAAGGGAAAAAAATCATTCCAGTGTTTTTTTAAATAATTATTTCTATTGTACACATGCAACCTGGATATTCTGTTACACTTAATTTGAGTTTGTTAAATTAACTGCAGAATGCTTGCATATAACGCTAGTTCGTTTGCTGCATGCTTCTCAACTGGAACTGAACAAGAACCGAGTGCCAACTTGCTGTTTTTGTGTACGTTTTATAGCTGTACACTAACCACCCATACACATAATATTTGCCAGTGGTTTCAAAATCTGTATTATTATGTCTTATTTTATCTTCGAATCTCATTACGCGTGTTAAGAATAGCACTGAAGAATAGAAATGAATACAATACAAGAGGGACTTTATTTGAAAATGACGACAGAACCTGGTTAGCCAATCATAGTTTTAAAATCATATCAAAACCTTCTAAAATGCCTAAGTTATACAAAATACTTCAACTACTGTACAAAAAACTATGTATTGCTTTATTATTCAGGAAAGAATGAGTTACTGTCTTTATTATTTTACAGAAAAGAATGAATTACTGTCTCAGAAATAAATGTTTAAAAGGTTATGCATTTATAGAGGGATTTCCTTTCAAACTTGACAGTTATGGATCTTTCAGGTGAATATGCATGCAATTGCTCCCGAAGCCTGGCATCCCGCATGTCCTATAACCAACTCTAACCCTGCTCTAATGTGTTTTTCGTGCTAAAGATGATTAATTTTTCGCTTTCCAAATGTCCTTATTCCATTTGGTTGATTAAATAACCCAAACTTCATAACTTAGATATTGATGATAAGTATTACATGAAAGTCAGTTTAAGCTGTCAAAAATTATATATTTGAAAGTGTGCGATAGTAATATAAAAGTTTAGGGGGAAATGTATCACAAGTTTTAAGGCGCAAGTCTTCTTTTTAGAATGAATTAGAAAAAGTTAACACTTTGATCAAAAGAGAGTCTTAACTTACATCATGTATTACATTTTCAGTTATAGTACAAGTTCAAAGTTTTCAGTTATCACAGACGATGCTACGGCCTTTGTTGGTTGCGATGCTGGGAAGGTTTGTTTGTTTGATTTGTTACTAATTCATTGTATTTTGTCAGAGGGTCTGTAAGATGATTAATCAACGACACCATATAACCCTATAGTTTTGAGATCAGTGTATTTGACGTTGTTTCTAGTGTTTTTTACTGCACAGAAATCCATCCAATTGCAACCGCGGGTTCAAACTTTCGATATTAATTGCCTTCAGCAATACATCCTTGCGGGAAGTACGTCACCTTGGCTGTAGAGCCTCGTTTTCGTGATTGAGACGTTTAGCTTTAACTACCTAATCTCATATACACTTACTAAAATTGGGGTATTCTCAAGGAATATTATGCTACATGCACAAGGAATATTATGCTATATGCACACATAGTCTTTCAAAACATGGTTTGGAAACTCCGCTGAAGCCTTTTTTCTATCTTTTTGTTCGCGTTTATGCAGTTTTGTGCACGGTGCACGGTCAATGAACACATTGTATTTCAGTATAATGAACGAATCATCCAATAGCACGTTTCAGTTCAGTCATTCAACCATACTATTTAAATATTAATAAACCTAAAACAAAGGATGTGCACGGTGTAAGGTACGGCTCAACATAAACTTCCAGCTCATTATAGCCGCTTTGAAGTTTACTGAGTTTCCAGACCATGTCTCGAAAGACTATGATGCACACTAATGCTATATGCACATTTTCCATAGTTAGAGGTTTCTAGTGTCCATTAGGCTAATTCAGTTACTATAGAATATGTTAAGTAATTAAAAAGTTATTTGAAAATATATCTGATTTATATATTGTACTTTATTCTTTTAACATTACACTCTTTCCAACTTATTCACTGCACTAAATACATTCCTTCACAACATAATTTTATCTTTAGTGTTGTGCATGCTTTGGTTCTAAAAGTGGAAGAGGTCATTATTGCAGCAGAAAATGTAAGGCTGTTAATGGTGGTACTGTCCTAACTGGCCAGGTTTATGTCTGGTATTGGATCAGAACACGCATGCCTAGACGACTGTGGAAAAGATGTATGGAGTTCAAGATGAAAACAGAGACTGGGAAATTTGAAACGTATTATATTGATAGGAAGACCAGTACAGCTCATAAGGTAAGTTTGGTCTTCGGAAACACCACGTATATTTACTGTATTATTGCATGTAAGACTTCCAATTCGTATACCCAGTTCTAATTAATAATCAGAGAATGTATGGGATACAGTTAGTCCTTTTACTGTTATCCAAAAGATTTTGATTGTCACTGTTATTAAAGTGGCTGTGAACATGTTGTTTAGTTACGTTATTGATGACAGCACGGTTATGCTCTGCAAACCTTTCCCTCAAACATCTCCCAGTTCCCGGCCCCAATGTAGAGCAGACTAAATTTACAGCATGACAAACTGTAAATAAGATCCAAAATGAATGTGAATTTTAAAATTGTTCCTTTATACAGGGTACGTGCTCACAACAACTTCAGACATTCTTCAATGAAGGTGTAAGTGTGGTATTTTAGTTATTTTATGCGTCTTTTTGTATTACATCTCAAAATCATATATTATTATAAGGTAACTATATCCGGAAAATCTAATGTCAAATCTACTTTCTCCAATTTATCCTTGATCTTAAAGTCCAAGGCGCTTAATTATAATCAACAATCACAAAAGTACGTTTTGCAAAAGTTGTAAAAGTAATTCACTGTCTATGTTAAACACTTTCAGACACTTTTGGTAAAAAACAAAGAAAGTTTCAAGAACCTTCCACAAGTGCCAGGACTGCTCTCATATCGCGAGGATAACAACTTACTTTACATAAACAAAGGAAATGAATGGGATGTCATCAGTACTGAAAAAGAAGTAAGTCATGACGTATATTTTGCAGGTTAACAAAAGCGAAAATCCTGTCCAAAAGTGAGAACGAAGCCAGACGTCACTCATTATAGATTATATTATTTTACGGATGTCCAAAACGTGAGGGGAGGAGCCCCCCTCTCCCTTCCCACCAAGATTGACGCCCTAGCAGATTAATACTATAGTGGTCACTAGTCAGTCGTTTTACGATACAAATATATATTTTCTTTATGTACACCATCTTTATATTTACTTTTGTTCAAATCAATATTTCTGTATTATTGCATTTACTTCCTGTAAGACTCGATATTATGAACAGTTTTTACTATAATAAATATGTAGTAGAACAATTAATTGAGAACATTAAACATTTTACCTCTATTATATTACGTAACTGTTATGACGTATTGATACTTAAATTGTTTTAGACACAAAACCTGGAGAAAAATATAAATGGAAAATTGCAAAGCCTTGAAGACAAGTTGTCAAAGATTGAAGGAAGATTAAATGGTAAGTTGGATGGTACCATACTGCTGTGTATATACGAGATGTTTCCAGCTTATACATAGACAGCTTGCGATTGAAAGAGATACCCTTTTGCTTATATTTTTCAATTAGCTGTATCTCCCTCAATATTGTCGTTATCTACACTACTACTAACCATATAAATAAACTTGCTTGCAGCAGTAGCGATTGACACAACATGTGGAAAGCGTAATCCAAAGATAAATATTAAATCCCGGCATATGACTTTCAATTTTATTTAAATTTTTATAAGCTTTGCCGACGAAACAGTACATTACATTACATAACAGGACAAAAACAAACGTACATAATGAAGTACAGTTCATGACCACGGCTGGGTGACCGCAAAAGTGATTAGCAAAATAGTGCCGGTCCGACCCAAAATTACATTTAACTAGTTAGCCATCATTACATATATATATACACATACATACATCACAGACGTGATCTTAATATTTACAGTTTAACAGCAACACAATATTGGACGTAACCACTGGACGTAATAGGCTACGAATACAATCACATTTCAGACATATACTCTTAAATGTTTGAGAGTTTTCAGGATCATAATTAATGTTCAGTCAGTTCAGTGATGTAAAGTAATCTTTCAAACAAGTCATAACGAAAAAGAAGATAATCTATTTGCTAACGCTTCGTTGTATACATTATAACATTATATCAGCGCATTTAAATATATTTACATGCAAGAGTATTCTCTATATGAGGACTGGGCTAGTGCAAGTCCGCGCAGTTTAATAAAGTCCGAGTCGAAGTTGGGGACTGGATCAAAATGAGAGAACTTGAAATCTAGTCCAGTCCCAATCTCGTTTCCCGAGCCTGCGATCCTCGGGAAAGAACGTGAGGCTCTGGGATAATCCGTTGCCGGAAGCCAGGAATCCTGGCTAAGGTTGAACTGCGCATTCCATATCAACGACTAATCATATTACTCCCTGAAACGGGTTATCCCAGAGCCTCACGTTCTTCCCAAGGATTGCAGGCTCCGGGAACGAGATTGGTCCAGTCCGAATTGGAGGATTTGAAATGACATCTCATACAAATAAATCACTAAATAAAGTGAGGACAATTAATTTTGATCCAGTCCCAGGAGTGGATCAATATGCTTCACCAGGTGGTATATTTAGTACTTGGATTAATTTTGGATATTAAAAAGCTTTCTCAAGTAGATCTCTTTCCGAAGTACCTTAAGAAAAGATTTTGAAGTGAGACGCAGACATCTGATGTTTAGTAAAGCAATAATTTTACCGCATAGGTCATTGTAACTGAAGGAAATACAAAACATTGATGAGTTTATAACGTAGTTATGGCAGGATGTCCTCCCTAGGATGTCCATGCAGGTTCTGAAGTATGAACAACACCATTGTATAAAGTATTGGCACACCATCCGATGTAGTGTAAATTTTCTTTTATTTCAGCCAAGTCAGTTTATGGTTCAATCCTCACACCAGGAAAATCTTGTAACGATATTCTAGCGGCAAATAAACTTGCACTTTCACGAATTTACTGGATCAAGCCTGCAATCAATAAGTTATTTCAAGTTTACTGTGACATGGAAACTCGCGGTGGAGGCTGGACCTTGGTTTACAGCTATACCTTTACAAATTACAGCAGTTTTAGATCAGGAAGCAATGCCGTGACCCCCCGTCCAAACTGGCCTGCCCATGGCGCCAACGTCCCAATCTCAACCACTCCTCCACTCAGTGAGTCGTCGTTTGGGGCAGTAGATTGGAATCTTTGGACGAACATTGGGCATGAGTTCATGATCAAGTCAAACATCAATGATTGGATTGTTTGTCAACCAAATGGTGGAAGTCTGGTCATAGAGAAAGAAGGATCAATGAGTTGTCAAAATGTAAAGAACGTAGCAACGGCTTGTAGTGGTGTGGCACCAAATATTATTAATTGGCACACTTATGGACCATATTTGAGGGCTTCCTCAGTGTATTATTACTTTGATGGAAACACAAGTGGAAACTGGCCAACGCATGACCCTTGTGGCACATATAATACTGATCACAAGAAAGGAGTGAGCACCCCTGGCGGACAAATTTATCTTCGCTAGAATCCAAACCAGGGTTTACATTCAATAATTTCTTTTATATAACACTTGATAATTATGTAACATGCACGAGTAATCAGGATGTAGATTTTTACAACATGAGCGGCCGTGTTAATTGTATCGGATATGCAAACTCGAGCAGAAGGCGAGAGCTTGTATAGCTGCATGACACAACACGGATGCCGGATGTTGTACTGAAATGGCTTGTGAAACTTCTCGAAGAGAACATTTGTCTTCTTCAACAATTTAAAATATAGGAATTATTGGCATACCAATAAAGATTTTATTGCTTCCTGCACTTGAACTATATAAATAGATAGAAAATTACTGGGGGTTTTCCCGGGAATTTTGTGATCACATGATTGTAATGCGCGGGAAAACGGATAGGAGTTCGCGGTATTTATAGTTGAACTAGAATGCGGGATCGGTTCATTCTGCTTTGCACGTTGGCTGGCAAAACATCTCCATCTGAAATCAAGTTTACCTACCCTCCTTCCCGTTTTCTGGCGCAATTCCTTTTGATATGTATACTAGTTCTTAGTGGTGCATGGTGCGTGTTTGAATTACCCCCACCTTTCTGTGCGAACAATTTTCTTAACAAGTACGATCGTACTATAGTGGACCAGGAACTGCGTGATCCAGTTTCGATCTTGTGCAAATCGTTAAGTGTTCAAAACCTTCGAGATTTGACTTGATAAACAAATAACTAGATACTTTAGTCTCAAAATTGCATGGCAGCGTAGACTGAGTTCGCTAAATGTTTTGCTTTATTTGGTCATGCAAGATAAACTTTATCCGAACAAAAAGTGTGTCTAGTCATGCTGTGGATAAATGAGTGTAAATCTGGACAAAGCATATAGATAACTAAATGCGCAGTTTTCAAAAGTAACTATATACTCGTACCCAGCGGGCAAAATGACGTTTATCCAACGTTGAATCAACGTTGGAAATGACCTTCCAGACGTTGGATAGACGTTGAAAAAGGGTTGACTATGCAAATTGGATCGACGTTACTGTTTCGACGTTGAAACAACGTTGAAATTAGGTTGCCAATCTCGTCAACCATAATTCAACGTTGAATCCACGTTAAAACAACGTTGAGATTGGTTCACAAATCGACGTCGTAAATTTAACCATGAATGAACGTTAATTCAACGTCTGTTGGCTGCTGTTGAACCAATGTTTGTAAAACAACGTCAGAGCAACGTAGATATTAGGTTGTCGACGTCGCAACCTTTTTTCTACCAAATTTCAACTTTGAAACAACGTCGTGTGCCCGGTGGGTATTGGAATTAGGTAAGTTAAATGTCCCACAATGTTAAGACTAAACATGCCGTGTCTAAATTTAACTTTTGCCGTAACAAATTTTGCCGTGCCGTGCGTGCCATTGCAAAATATTGCAGCTACAGTCGTGTATACGTGCCGTGTAAACGGGACTTAAGTTAAGGTAACAAATTATCTGAATTGTTGCTATAGTATAGGTTAATGCAGTTCATTTCGCTTGGTAATGATTCATAACTGCATGCTTGTGCTAAAAACAAATTGACATGTCTTTGTTTTTATGGTTCGCGATTTTCTGGCTATGCATGACTATGAATATTATATGATAGCCAGATAGGAGTATAGTACTCCTCTGCGCTTTGAGAAACTAAGTCAGCGTGTTAAATTAGTCAACTTAAGTCTTAACGCTTATAATTAATCGTTATAATTAGCCGTCCACATTCTTGAGAAGCTTTAGACTATTGTGATTGTGTTCACAACGAACAATAGAAAAGACAATGTCTTTCTTATCATTTGCGTTTGCTGATATATTTGCTGAATATTAACGATATGTATATATTAATTGCTACGAATACAGTCAAATTGCTTGTATTTCGCTTCTAAAGTCAAAAATGAAAAATCGAGCACCGTCAATCGATGCGGAATATTGCTTAGAATAATTATGTCTAGTTTCATTCCGATCGGACAAGTAATGACGGAGCCTTAGGATTTTTTCAAAGAGCGTCGCCCCCTAACAACAACAACAACAACAACAACAACAACAACGTCAACGACAACGACAACGACAACGATATATTTGCTGAATATTAACGATATGTATATATTAATTGCTGCGAATACAGTCAAATTGCTTGTATTTCGCTTCTAAAGTCAAAAATGAAAAATCGAGCACCGTCAATCGATGCGGAATATTGCTTAGAATAATTATGTCAAGTTTCATTCCGATCGGACAAGTAATGACGGAGCCTTAGGATTTTTTCAAAGAGCGTCGCCCCCTAACAACAACGACAACGACAACGACAACGACAACGACAACGACACCGACAACGACAACAACAACAACAACAAGATTAGCTGCGATTGGGGACCAGTTCCTGGTCCAATAATTATTTTTACGAACATTAGTTTCCTTAATAATTTGTTATGTTAATAATTATGTTATTCATTACAAAAATTAATAAACCGGCATGTGCTTATAACGCATATTGCCATAATTATTCCAATTGGTGTACGATTGGTTTATTGCGCAAAAGCCTACGCACAGAAAACAGAGCTCATCATGACAAGAAACTGACAGAATATATTAGCATGGATTAAATTCAGGGAAGCGATAAATGAATGATATTTGTTGAGAAAATTGAACTTAAATTTTGTGTAAATCAACATGATTCTGTATCAGATATACAAATTCCTTCATGCTCTTGATTTTTCTCTTCATAAATTATTAATAAGTTTCACAAAGTCGTATAGCTTCTTATATAATCCCTAATTTCTAAAACAACATTAGTATACTGCATGCATGGAAAGCGTTTTATTGTGTATTATTGCAATACTGGAAAACTATTATTCATAACATTATTATAATACTGGAAAACTATTATTCATAACATCGAAAAACTACAACATTACCACAACATAAGAAACATTTAGCATTGTATTTGTAACTTTGAATTGGAAATCGAAAAATAAACTTCAGGGTTTTTGCATTCTTTATAAAGTTCAGTAATTCAAGCGCATAGATATGTAGTATGACCAAGGAGCGGAGCGAGACTGTTCGTGACATCAATAAACTCGTTCCTATAAGTCCCCATATCTACGCGCTTTTCAATACTGAATCCCGCTATGTTCTTCTTTCATCTCGCACTTAAGATGAACGCCATCATGTTATATAAAAACTTATTATGAACCTTCAATAGACAAAATGTGACCACTGATATTAGATGTTTCAAGACTCGTCTATCTTAGTCTGAAGACAAGACAAGACAAGACGAGCTACTTAGAGGGTACAGTCATTGACATGACCTTTGAGACTATTCCACCAGGGGAAGCGCTTGGCCTTCTTCAATAGGGGGTGAGGAGGTATTAATAGTTTTGCTGAGTTATTATCTTGGTCTCTATTAGCCTATGTACACATGCACATTTACTTAACATGGCATATACGCGGATTACGCAAAGGTTTCACAAATCTAGAGTTTATTAACTCATTTCGTCCGTTCCGTGGAAGATTTCAAATGACTACCTTAATAACAATGAAACTGATCCTAACCACTGCACAACAATGGTTTCCAGCCATGACTGCTTTTAAAAACCAACACGTCTCCATTTATATAGGCTGTTGGCCTGTTTTGGAATTTTAAATTACCCGTTAAGACTCGATAGAGCACATTTTCACGATATCTATTCAGCTGAGTAGTATTAAGTTTTATATTTGAATTCCCGTTTAGTTTTCATTCAGATAATTTAATTCGATAATTTATAATCCATTTCCAATTAGTTCAATTTTACCGAATGAGTGCAACAATTTGCCGACTAGTTCATGAGTGCGGAGGGGTGTTCCACTCCCCATATACCCCCTCTCTAGCGCCACCCATGACCGGATTTTGAGGGTAGGTGTGGGGAAGTGCGCACGTCCACACGTATATGGCTCCTTAAACACATTTTCTGATTTTCATATATTTGTTTGAGCGCTATAAAAGTATTTTTGAGCTATGTTTTATTTGCTAGTTTTCTTCGTTTAGATCTGGTTTCGTCACCTAATATTGTTTTCGGAAAAGCATGTTTAACAATCGCTTTAGAACTACTTTTTCGGTAACCTCACCCCCAGAAAAATTCTTATAAATCCAGTTTATATGATATTTGTTTAGAATATGGTATTAAAGACGTTAAATTCATCTTTATTTATTTTTTGAAACAAGTAAACAAATCAAAAAAATTTCCCGCCAAAACTTACGGTTACCAGTAAGAGTTCAAATGGCTTGTTTTCTTAGCTTTTTCGATGAAATTTGTGTTGGTACAAGTACTTATTAATATTTCCAAGACTTCTTATTCTTAAAAATGATCCAAGGATACTTTTTCTTTGCATAACGACCTTATAAACGTGTAAAAACGTTTCAAATTTTTTATGGACCGCAAGTCGACCAATCAGAATCCAGGATTCTGCAAAGACATATAATAATACCCGATATTACTTTGCTGAGAAGTCCAAAATCGTGAACCAGAATAATCGGAAGTGATGACGCTGAGCAAATGAAAGGGCATGTGGCGACTGAGTATTGAGTAGCGATAGTTGACGAGCAAGTGCACACTGGCAGAAACGTAGACGAAACGTACCAAAGCCGAGAACAAAATAATGAGTGAAAGCAACAGTTTGGTGATGCTTGTGATGGCGTAGGAAATGAATAGACAATTCCCATTATAGAATACTTTTAAAACTAGGCAAGGAGATACAAATAAATCACAACAGCTCTTCCGATCTATACTAAAATGAGTAAAATTGCAAAGTTTCGTTGCGATATGTTGTAAAATGCGGAAAATATAGCTTTGCAAAATTTGCGAATTTTGTGTGCTTTTGTATTGCGTGCGGAAATTGCTACCATTTTCCGCCTAAATGTGGTAGCAATTTCCGCACGCAATACAAGTATACAAAATTTTCGAAATTTGCAAGGCTATATTTTGCGCATTTTACAACGTTTCGCAACCAAACTGTGCAATTTTACTCATTTCAGTATGCTATTTCCTGGAATATACTTTTTTGGCCAAGATAAAAAAATGAGTCTATAATGGGAATTGTCTATTGGTTCAAGTTGGCATCACAATAACTCGACAGCATTTTAAATCGCGAACAAATTAAACGACGATAGATTGCTGGCAAGCGTGAACAACCGCCCAGCGAAAACAAAAGCAAGGGGTCAGCTCAACGCACAGAACGAGGGCGCCGGAAACAAATCATATATAGTGCGAGAAATACTATAACAGCCTGGTGATCCCAGGCCACAAGAACCATCCTTTCGGGTGGTTAAAGGGCATATGACTCGAGAATTGACGGTGTTATATTTTAATCTAATTTGAAAGATAATTGAAAACTGTAGAGTAACTTCTTTGCCAGATTTTTGTTTTCTTGCTTCGTTTTGGAGATATTTCATTTTGTATGATATGCAAAGGACCAACTTTCTACGTCACACATGCATAATAACTTTCTTTAAAATGTCATATAATTTTGTCACTATCAAATAAATTCGCACAAAATGAATGATGAGCACGAGATTTGTCCACAGAACACCCATCTATAGGTTTTCTAATGATTTCGTTTAGTAGCATGAAAGATATACAGCTCTTAGGGCTAAATCATTATGCATATGTGACGTAGAAAGTTGGTCCTTTGCATATCATACAATATGAAATATCTCCAAAACGAAGCAAGAAAACAAAAATATGTCAAAGAAGTTACTCTACAGTGTTCAATGATCTTTCCAATTAGACTAAAAATTAACACCGTCACTTTTCGAGTCATATGCCCTTTAAATAGGACCTCTCTTTGTGAACGGCGGGAATGCCAGTCCCTGAACTGAAATGTTTGCCGCGATTCGTTTTGGTTTTCACGCATCCCAAGTGATCTGTGCTTAAGCCCGGCGCACACTGGAGATATCAGCTGAGCTGAGCGTCACTCGTGACTGTTGGCGTAAGCAAGTTCCCCCAGTGTGCGGTGGCGGTTTAAGCGATTACAGCCACGCGTGCCATCGGCACCGAATATTCCACATGTTAAATAATTTCAGTCAAGGATGAACATTTCCCCCAAGTGTGTGCGCTCGAAAAGCTATCACCTTTCATTGTAGGTCGAATAGGCATGCGTAATAAAACATAAGACAAACGGGAAATAATTAATGAGGGATGTGATACTTGAGTAGTGACATATGAATATTCCTCATAATTATTTTCCTTTTGTCTTATGTTTATTACGCATGCCTATTGTATTGTATATATGTATTTAATTTCTTTAGAGACGCTATCCTCATCAGCTATACGGCTGGTTTTTATGAGGGTCGTTTATTTAGCTATTTAGCTATTTACAAGTATATAAAAATGAAGAAAAAACTAATTAACCCACAGACCCAAAAAGAATATTACCCAGAACATAATATGTAGTTACAAATGGAATAACAATTAAAAACAAGATTGAAATAAGTCTTTTGAAACAATAAATCTAATGAGCAGAAAGCCTATTCCACAGAAAGCCTCAGCAGAAAGACTATTCCACAGTACATCTCCACTATACCTAATTAAGCTTCCTTTAAGAAATTCTTTCTTAGGTTTTGGAAGTGAGAGATCTGTATCATAATTTCTGAGATGATAGTCATCATTATTGCTGCGCGCAGAAGAATATTCTCGAAGACAGGGGGCAGTACCATTATTAAGAATGTTGTATACCAGAACCACGTTAGTAAATCTAAAATTAATCTGTTTTCAAGATTTTTCCAGTTAAGCCGTTCAAGGAGCTCAGAGGAGTTGGTATCATAACTTACTCCCGTCAACACCCATGCAGCTCTATTTTGGAATATCTATAGTTTTTCTTTTAGTACAATTCCGCAATTATTCCACAAAGGGTAGCAATAATCAAAGTATGGCAGAATTAACGCCTTATAGATGATGTGCAGGGTTTCATTGTGGACGAATGGTTTTGTTCGTTTTAAAACTCCTATCCCTGCACCAACCTTTTTACAGATTGCATTAATATGAACTTCCCAACTAAGGTGTTCATCCAACTCAATTCCTAAACATTTAAAAGATCTGTACCGTTTTAATGGTTTATTCTTAAAGGTCATTAATTTATCTCCAATTTTATTTTTGATAGTATGGCAGAATTAAATCAAAGTATGGCAGAATTAACGCCTTATACTGTAGATGATGTGCAGGGTTTCATTGGGGACGAATGGTTTTGTTCGTTTTAAACTCCTATCCCTGCACCAACCTTTTTACAGATTGCATTAATGTGAACTTCCTAACTAAGGTGTTCATCCAACTCAACTCCTAAACATGTAAAAGATCTGTACCGTTTTAATGGTTTATTCTTAAAGGTCACTAATTTATCTCACATTTCATTTTGATATTGTACCGGGGGCCTACGAACATTAGCTTAGTTTTAGTAGTATGGTGCTGCAGTTTGTTATCCGAGAGCCATCTACTAATATTTTTTAAATCAGAATTTAATAGTTCCACCAGTTCATCATAATTATCAGACGAGGCAAATATCTGTGTATCATCAGCATATAAATCCGGAGTTGTAAATTTTAAATATTGCGGCAAATCATTAATATATAATAAAAACATCAAAGGACCGAGAATGGACCCCTGCGGCACACCACTTTCT